TTGGGAGCTGGGCCCGCACCGGCCGCAGTTGCTTTTCCCGGGGACACAAGCTTGAGTTTCAGGAAGGAACAGCTGAAGCTCGGAAGCCGGGACTGCGACGCTGTTCCGACACAGGGCTGGCCTGTCGCTTCCTCTTGCGTCTTTTCTGCGTAGCTCAGCTCGGGGGGACGGTGCACGGCCCGTGGTCGGCCTGGCATCTGGGCCTTCCGAGGCTGCCAGCGCGAGGCTGTGCCATCACGTCGCGGCCGAGCCTCGTGTGCAGCCGGGGAGGCGCGTGCTCCGCCCTCCCGAGCCCAGCTCCCTGCCCGCAGGGCCTTTCCTCCCTGAGATTTTTTATTTTGTCTTTTCTTTCACTGTCATATCTCCAGCGTTAAAATAGTGCCTGGCCCCTAGTAGGCTTCTGTAAAAAGTATCTGAACTAATTACTGAAGACGCAAGCTGTTTTAAAAACTCATGTCCTCTCCTTGGGCCCGTTCTTGATCAGGGACGTCACGGCCTGACTGTCAAGACCCTTCCCACCTCCGCAAGTCTTTTCTTTCTTCAGTAGATTCCTGCCGCAGGCATAGGGCATGGTGCTGGCTGGAGAGAGCGAGAGAAAGGGAAAGTGAGAAGTCCCCCCTTAGAGGGGATGGCCGAACCCTAACCCTCCGCCATCCCCCCTCGCTCTGCTCTCGGCAGGTCTCTTCGTTACATTGGCAAAGTGCACATTAAGGAAAATACACAGTGTAACCCACATGGCAACGTCTGTGACCCGCCCTCACCCTCGCCACAGCCCCCAGTTGGACCCTCACCGCTATTCCTCGCTGACGTCACCCTCTCAGGCCTGCTTTCTCCACGAGCAACGTCAATAAGTGAGGAACACCCCTGGCCTCGGGCCTTTGTGGTCCGTAGAGTAGGGTCATCTGCAGTTTTTTGCCAGATGGCAGTCTTGGCGCGTCTCCTCCCTCCGGAATTCTGACGTTAACCCAAATGGGGCACGGGCCCCCTTTTTAGGGTTACCGTGGTCATTTTCTTTGTGGTTGGTGTCTGCACCTTCATCGTCTGTTGATTCTGACAGTCCATCAGTGCCCTGAGGTGTACGCATTCTCCTTTGTAGTGACGCATTTCGGCTGTCTCACCTTGTTTCTAAGGAAGAGGACCTCGGTCAGACTGTAGATTAGTGAAGATGGCTTCATTTTCAGTACTCTTTGAAGATGCTCTATTTGTAGTATTTCTTAAAGAAACTTTAGTTTCAGTATTCTCTGGCGAGATCTCCTTCTTTTCCGAGACTGTCTTAGCTGAATTTAGAGAGACTTGTGTCGGTGAGCATAAAGTCTACCTGCCAACCTTGGTCTGCATCCAGAGGCGTCTGTCTGGCATTGATTCGGCTCAGTCGTCACGTTATCCGGAAGATACCTTGTTAGTTACTGTGAAGCTCCAAGGGTATTCGAAGTGCATTGACTTGGGCTTTTACCTCTAATTCTTCCCAGGATTCGCTCCCTTCGCTGGTCTCTTTTCAGAATTTTGGGCATGCATGCACATGTGCCTGGTGTGTTTTTCAAGCCACCAGGTCTGGGACTCAAACCACACAGTTGCCAAGAGAGATCCAGTTGCTTTGACTACTACGCTAGCCACTGGCCCTCCCACCTTTCTGGGTCCCCCCCCCCCAGGTGTTTGCCTTAGGGCACAAGAGAGAGAGGGGGGGGAGAGAGAGAAAGAAGGTGAGAAATCACCTCCTTAGGAATGACCATGTTGCAATCCCTTCTCCATTTACCTGGGATCTTGGGCATGGCTGTACCCGCGTCTGTGGTTTTCAAGCCACTGGGTCCGGGACTCGAGTGATGGTCAACCATGTGGGACTTGTATCTGCTTCGCCATTTCTAACCCAGCATAGGGCCGTGCAGAGCCCAGCGAGTGTGTGCTGGCAAAGACAGACTGATCGAAAGATATTTCCCAGCCCGGGGGCTGCTAGGTGCACACACACGTGCAAGCAGTGCCTCTCTGCAGCCTCCCTTGGCGGAGCCCCTATTTATGCCCTTGGTTTGGGGGTTTGTTCCCTGCCGGGCACCTCCTCAAGGCCTCCCACACTGCCTCCTCTTCCAGCAGGCTGCCAGTGTGCCGTGCAGCCCGCAGAGCGTGGCTCGGAGCTTCGGCTGTGGTGGCTGTGTGTGTTCAGCCCGGCGGTCATGTGGGTGTCAGGGTCTGACTAGCTTTGGGGAGAGCGGGGGTGTTTGGGCTGTCACGCAGGAGCAGGACAGACTGGCCATTAGCAGTGCAGCCCTGTTAGGACAGCCCAAGGGGCCGTCGACACGTGTAGCTTCCAGGGAAGGAGACGTCCACCTTGTTAGGTCAGATTCTCTTTACTGCCTATCATTTTTGCTTAAAACCCTTAAAAAATTTTGGTTTTGTTAATTACTTTAAAATAGAGCCGCTTTGTCTATTTTGTTCAGACAAATTAGGATCCATCTTAAGTTTCATTTTCTAACTTGTTCATCCGGGATGAGCTCACTGAGATCATTTGGACGGATGCTTGTCCTTAATAAAAGCCTTCAGTGTAGGCTAGATGTTAATAGGAAGGCTCTTATTAGAGCACGTTCTTATTCGGTCTCGTTAGTAGCTCTCTAGAATAGAGTCGAGTTTCAAGGGTGCTTTCTCGTTGCAGAGTTGAGCTTGTGAAGTGAGCCGTTGTGACAGACCTTCGTCCAGGCTGTGACCTTCTCTGTGTCTGCTGTGTCTGGGTTACCCTGAGAAGGAGGCACACTTGTCGCAGATACTCAGAAATGCTCTTAAGGGTATTCAGTGCAGTGCACAGGGCTGTCAGAAGACCAAAACGAGAATCACTGGATGGAAGTTAGGGTTGGTAGGTTGGGAGGGGGATAAGAGGAAAGGTGGGAGAAGACTGAAGAGCAAAGAGCGAGGCCTGCTTCCTTGTGCTGGCGTGGGAGTGGATGTGGGGAAGGAGGTGGCTTGTCTTTTTCTAAACACGATCCGTGGGTGCCAACAGGGAGCATCTGTGGGTGCCCAAGGGGGGCATCTGTGGGTGTCCAACGGGGCTATTGGCGGGTGCCCAAAGGGGGCGTGTCAGTGGCTTTGGGCAGGAGGTGTTGCCACCAGAGCCAGCTGGAGAGCAGCCAAGAACTTCTGTTCCGAGAGCTGCTGTGCCCTTCTGTGTGCTGCTGGCTGCTCACCTGGGCAGGAGGTGAGAGCTGGGTTTAGGAGACAGGACTGTGTGTGCTTGCGCTCCTGCAAGGGGATCGCTGGCCCTGGCCACCCTGAGTGCTGGCTGATTCCTCAGGGTCCGGATTCCGCTTTGCTTCCTACATGGCTGACCACATGGTGCTGCAGAAGGAGCCCGCCGGGGCCGTAATCTGGGGCTTCGGTACACCTGGAGCGACAGTCACAGTGACCCTGAGCCGCTGCCAGGAGGCCATGATGAGGAAAGTGACCACAGTGCACGGTAAGGCTCTGCGGCTGCCTGCGGCTGCCCCCTGCTGGTGTGTCTGAGGAGGGACGCTGCTGCCCCAGCTCCCGCCTTCCCTCCCACCCCCGTAGAGCGGCTGGGTCTTCCCAGAGCTCAGATGCACAAGCTTTGGAAAAACCAGAACATGAGGGTGGCTGGGACATAGCCAGGGACTGGGTGGTCTCAAGCCATGCTGCTACCTGATGCTTCTGGACAGGAATGAGACCCGGGCGTAGGGGATGTCCCTCCTGTACACACAGTGGGCCGTGTGACGGTGACAGAAAGGTCTGTCTCCTGTCTGGACAGGAATGAGACCCGGGTATAGGACACATCCCTTCCTTACATGCAGTGGGAGGTCTTTCTGCTGTATTTGTTGTCACGACTGGGTGATAGATCCATTTTCTCTGGTTAGAAGAAACCTGTGCCCCACTCTGCCTTTGGTTGTAGGGTGACAAGCATACCACTTTTTTTTTTTTGTAGACGTTTTTCCTATAGGGCGTGTGCCCTTGCCAGAAAGACAGAGAGACACAGAGACAGAAAGCGAGAAATCACCCCCGGGGGGATGGCCACGCCACAATCCCTTCTCTTCCATTCTCCTCTCGGGATCTTGGGCACGCACACACACGCGCCTGGCGTGAGTTTAAGCCACTGGGTCCGGGACTTGAACCGCGGTCGACTACATGGGAGTCCAGCGACATAGCCATTACGCTAACTGCTGGTCCTATGCATACCACTTTCTCATTGCCAGGTGAGAAATCACTACACGCTTAGGTACTTGATGCAGTTCTACAATCACACAATTTCTGCAGATGTGGAATCTTGCTCAGGTGTCAAGAGGCTAACCCTGGAGCCTGGCCCAGCTGTGTCCCCAACTGGGAGCCTCGGCCCCCCTCCAGGCCCTTGGCTGCTGGCGGACCCATCCCCAGGTGCAAAGCTCCAGACGGCCTCGCTGCTGCTTCTAGTCACAGACCTCAGGCCCTCCGGCCCACCAGGACAGGCTCCCTTTTTGTCAGCATAAACCCTCTGTTAGGGGCTTCAGCCACTCCTGCAGACCCTTCCCCTCCTCGTATGACACAACCCAATTGTGGGGTGGTAGCTCCCCTCTGGCCATCTCTGTTGGCTGGAATCAGATCACGGTCCTGCCTGCACACGAGGTGGAGTGAGTACGGGATGAGTCTCCCCAGATGGTGGCGGGAAGGATGTGAGGAAGCAGAGACGTGGGTGGGACGGAGACAGTTCTCATCACTCTCGGGCTCACCCTCGCTGTCGCTGCCGCGAGCTGACGTTCCCCTCCCTCAGTATCTAAGCTTCCTTGTCCTCGAGTGTTTGCATGGTAGCGGAGACGGGGTGGGCTTCGGTCTCGGCAGTTAGGCCCTCTCTCCCTTGAGCCACCTCCATGAGCCCAAACCCCTTTGCAGCTGGTGAGGAGCCTGGTTCTGCGGGAAGAAGTGGGTTGGGTTGTTTCTTGGAGCTTGAGATTCCCTTTGTGGGGAGGGGAAGGCTGTGGATAATTTTCCTCTTTCTTTCCTTGGCATTGGAGGCTTTGGCACAGTAATCTGCAAAATAACTGACATGTGGTGTGGATGGGAGGGAGGCAAGAGCACATCTGACTGATCACGGCTCTAGACAAATTATTTTTGGTTTTTCTTTTTGGTAGTTTTTGTTTTTCCCATTTTGAGGGGGAGTGAGCTGGGTGGGGGTTGTCCTTTGTGCCTGGCAGGGATATGAGGAGGAGCAGCAGCAAGAAACAGCCCCCCCACTCCCTGGCGACGGAAGCCCGGTCAATCTGCGTGGCTTCCTGCTGCATAGTGGCTGGAGGACTCGCTCTGCCCTGTGCTCCATGGGGTGACCAGCGTGCTGTGGGCCCACAGGGAGGAGGAAGGACATACGGACCGTCTAAATGGTAGAGGAAGACTGGTGGACGCAGAGGTTTACATGGGGTAGGGATGGGTCACAGAACTCTGACCTGGGTTGGTCAGGGAACAGGAGAGTGAGTGGCGGGCCTGGAAGGAGAGCCAGCAAGCTATGTTCTGGAAGCCCTGGGCGTCGGATACACCGGCAGGCTGGCAGGACCAGCAGCGCCCAGGGACTGGCTTGTGGCCAGTTGCTTGAGCTAATTCCCTGGAGCTGGTGGGACAGTACAATCCCCAGAACTCTAAGTGGGACCCTGGTGGCCTGTGATGAGCTCTGCCACCCAGCCCTGGCAGTAAGCCAAGGACTGACCAGCACGCTTGAACAACACGGTTGCGTGGGCCCTGGTGATCCCACGCTCACCGTGGGCTCTCGCAGCCTGCTCTCCTGTGTGAACCACACTGCAGGAAGCCCCGTTGCTGAGGCCCTGACCGTCTGCAGGCTTGGGCTTCTCGTCACACCCAGAGCTAGTGTCTCTGAGCACCTGTTACGTGCCAGCACACTCTCCTTCCTGAATGGGAGAGTGCAGGACAGAAAGTTGAGAAGAACTGGAGGGCTGCATGCGGTGGGGGTTGGCTCTTCCAGGTCAAAGGGCTCCGGACAAGGTGGTTTTGCGAATAAAACTGGGCCCGTCCTACCCCTTTGAAGTCTCTGGGATGGGCCAGAGCTCATCCAGGCTTCACAGGGTGGAACCATGTGGTTTTGCTCAAATGGTCTCTCACTGCCGCCCCACTCACTATCTTTCGGGCCCCCCCTTTCATTTCTTTTTTTTTTTTTTTTTTTTTGGAGTTTTGTCAAGGGCACGCGCACTTGCCAGAGAAAGAGACAGAGAGAGGGGAAGTGAGAAATCACCCTCTGGGGGGATGGCTACACCACAGTCCCTTATCATCCATTCTCCTCTAGGGATTTGGGGCATACACACACACACACACACACACACACACACACACACTTGGCATGTTTTTTAAGATGCCTGGTCTAGGACTTGAACCATGCTGTTGGCCATGTGGGATCTAGCACCTTAACCACTATGCCACCTGCTGGCTCTCCATTATATATATATTTTTTAAGAATTATTTATTTAATTTTATTTATTCATTGACTCATTTGTTTTATTTTATTTTAATTTAACTAGAACGAGACACAGAGAAAGAGAAAGAGAGAAAGTAAGAAAACAAGCCACCAGGTCTGGGACTTGAACCATGGTTGGCTATGTGGGAGTGTCCAGTGCCTTAACCACCACGCCACCTGCTGATTCTCCAATATCTTTTATTACTGGGCAGCAGTACTTTTCAGAAGCTCCAGGCCAGGTGTCTTCCTCACCAGCCTGGTTGCTCTGTTTAACAGCAGCGACTAGGAGTAAATTATCAGTGGAGGCCAAGAAACAGCCCTGTCTTGGGTTTTCTGGGTTCCCCATCATCACAGATGAGCCCCGCAACTGTAGGACAGTGAGCTGTGTCTGTGCAGGATCCGGGAGACCCCGAGGTCCAGCCAGGGCAGATGGGAGCATCTGCCTGCTCAGAAGTGCGAGCCAGATGGAGTGCATCACAGCTGTGTGTCTTGTGGCTCAGCAGTCCATGATGGGTCTCCGCCTATAGGTGGATCGTGGCCATTGGTGATGGGCTTCACATCACCCTGGACTTGGCTGATTGCTCAGGATGGAGCAGCAAGCTTGGGCTGAGGTTAGGAGCAGCACTCAGCACCCTGAGACTCCTCACACCCTTTCTGGTTTTTGCTGGCTCATCCTGGCGCACACTCTGGGAGCGCACGCTTTCTCAGCTGTCACTGGCTAGGAAGGGCTTTGCGTGGTGAAGACCAGCAAAGGTGTTGGTTCTGCAGTGCTGTTTCTCACGGGCGGAGTGAACAGCCTGGGGTGTGCTGCCTTGTACCCGCCCTCCCTTCGAGGGTCCATTACTGCCGGGCACAGGCTGTGAACCGGCTCACTGTGAACTGGCTCCCGGTGCTGCTGTTATGCCAGGAGCACTGCCTGGCCTGGCCTGTCTCCTCACTCACATTTTGCCCTGTGTTCCTGTCGTCCGGCTTCCCTCACACGAGGCTGTATCTTGGGCAGAGGTGGTGTGTGCCCCCGTGTGCACGCAGCACAGGAAGAGGCTGGCCTGGTGACGGCACCCCGTGTGGGGAGCTTCCCGACTACCAGGGCTTCTCTGCCCTGTGCTCATGTCTGACTGGGTAGTTGCGTGTTCGTCTGGGGCTGTGTAGATCTGGACTAGTGTAGGTGCGTGTCGACAGTTGGGTAACGCAACAACCTGTATTTCACTTACTTTATTAAACTCCCTTGAATTTAACCTGTGTTTATTTCTGTCTAACCTCATTTAGGGTGAAAACTGGGGAACTGAGGAGGGATTGGTGCAGATTCTGGATACAGCTGCTCTCTGGTAGCTCTGTCCGCTCTCTGACCTCAGCCCATCCAGGCTGGGTGTGGCGCGACGAGTGTGAGTGGACTTTACCTTCGTCTGGTCGGTCGGCCAAGTCCTCAGAGCCCTGTTGTTGTCTTAGCACGCTCTAACACCTGGATGGTGGTGCTGGACCCTGTGCGGCCTGGAGGACCTTTCGAAGTGACAGCGCAGCAGACCGCTGGGGGAGAGCACATCGCTGTGCGAGTCCGCGATGTTCTGTTCGGAGACGTCTGGCTCTGCAGTGGGCAGAGTAACATGCAGATGACCGTTTCCCAGGTAACCCTCCAGTCCCACTGTGAGGGAGCGGGGCTGGGGAGCAGCCGGCGAGGGAGGGCCACCCCCGTTACCGAGGATGTCATGTGTGCTGCAGTCTGTTCTTGAGGTTTCCCATGTGCTCGTTCGTTCGATGTAGTGATCCTGAGAGGTGAGTTCTTGATTTCATTGGTAGGTCTTTATCGTTCATGTTAGAGTATGTGTGTGTTTGTGGGAGAGGGGGCACCTTCCACAGGGCTTGGTCACACTGCAAGCCTCTTCCCGAGTCCAATCTGCTAGGACCCTGGGCATGCACGCACACGCCCGACGTGTTTCCAGGCCAGCTGAGCAGGGGACTCCTACAGCCGTCGGCCCATGGCTTCCAGCCAGCTCTGTGCTCTGCCATGCTGTGATGGCGCCCGGCGGGCTGGCTGACATGCTGTCAGTGGCACGGAGCACCGATGTGTCCCACATACCGTGACTCGTCTCCTTCGGTGGATCGGGCACTCGGGAAGCTTCCTGTTCAGTCTGGAGAGAGACTGCTAGCTGTTTCTTGCTTTTCTTTCATCTGCTTCTCATCTTAAGAAATTTTAAAATTTAAGGTTTTAAAATCTCTACAACTAGACCATGAACTCAGTTCATTTCTCAGCTTATAAAATGGAGTCCTTTTCCATACCTTGTAATTTTTTGGTTTTGCTTCTACAGTTTCTACTCCTTATCACTTCTTCTGTTTTAGCTTGTGACTAGATAACCCTCTGACAATTTCCCCTAGACATACCTCCTTGGTTGTATCACTCGTTCTCTAACCAGAACCTCGGCTCTTGTATTTATGCCTTCATAGCCAGTACTTTGCTGCACTCACCTGCCTTGCTTAAACACCTGGACACCCTTGGCATTTAAGCTGAGCTCTGGAGTCTTTCCTATGAATCACTGGAAGCAGAATGGAGCACGTTTTGTATGGGAGTGGGAGTGCTGTCACTCACCGAGGAGAGGCACCTCCCTGTGCATGAACTGCAGGCCCTGCAGCTGTCAGTGCCCGCCGGGGGCCACTCCATTCTCTGCCTAGTGAGGTCGGAGCTTGGTTGTGAGGGGTGAGCACACTCT